GCCTGCCATATTGCCTGGTTAATTTTTCCATTTTTAGTAGTGAGGGAGTCTCGCCCTTGCTCAGGCTGGTCTCGAACTCTCGAGCTCAGGCAACCTGCTTGCCTCAGCTTCCCAGAATGCTAGGATTATAGGTGTGAGCCACTGTGCCCAGCTAAGTAGAAAGTATTAAGGCAGACCTTTCTCCCAACTTTTAGAATCAAATCTCTATCTCATAAGTATTTCATTTTTTTAAATCTAGTAATTCTTTGGAATACATTTTGTTCTAGGCACTGTGTTCATTATCCCATTCACTTTTCACAGCAAACCTATAGAATGAGAATTATTAGATCCCAGTTTAAATATAAGAAAGCTAGGGTTAAAGGACTAAACCACTCCTCCCAAGGTCTTATAGCTGGCAAATGGCAGAGCTACTATTTGAACACATTCTATTTGACTATAAAGTTAATATTCTTAAACACCATTCCTTGCTATGCATAGTGATAAGTACATTAAACTCAACATGTCCAAAACAGAACTCACCATTTCCACCTAACGTGATACAACTATCTTGCACACAACCACACTGCTTTCCCAGAAAAGGATAAAGTTCTTCAATGTTTACTCTTCTCCTTACTATCTCTAATGTAAATACTATGTTGTAAAGTTAACAATACTTAAATACTATGATATAAAGTCAGTATATCTTATGTTAACATAAGGGGATAAGAAAGTGAAGAAAACAAAAATCTCTGCATGTATGTACAGATACATGAATATATTCATAACAAATAAGGAGAAAATACTCCTAATTACAGTCCTTGTTTCTGAAACTGGTCATAGCTTATATTTATAACTATCTTCTCCCACCACCCTATTCTGTATTTCCTTTGCTTTCAGCATTAACCTCACCCGGTGACATGATACAAACCTTCATTCCTTAAGTGTCTAGGGTATGAGAAGATCTGCCTTACTTGGGTTTTTCTAATTTTCCATTTAAACCTTAATCATAAGGCATGGTAATTTTAAGAGATGTCCTACAGCACCAGTTCTCAACCTGTGGGTCATGACCCACAGGAACTATATTAAAGGGGCTGCAGCATTAGGAAGGTGGAGAACCACTGCCCTAAAGCATTTCCTATATTCTAGACACACTCTCCCTTAAGTCCATTGTGGAGTAACAGTTCAATTTCTCCTTGGTGGTCAGGATCAATTACCCAGCCAGTGCAGTAATTCCTGTCTTTGCCTGTTGATTCAGAGACATAAGGAATGCAAAGTGGCAAGGTGGCATTCCTACCTTCCAATTCAGTGTCTCCTTGTGGAAGCATTCCTCCCTTTGGAACTAAGACCTCTCTCTATAGCTCAAAAGAAGATAAAGTGCAGGAAGAGGGAACAAAATTTTAATTATCAAATATCACTGTAAAGTTGCCATACATAGGGAAAATGGTAAATTGTAGCTACATGTATTTATTTATAAAATAATAAAATTTATTTTATTTATTTATACTACTATTTTACTCCTTGGTGGTCTCAAAGCAGCTGTATGCTAATGTGTCTCAGATTTCTGTTTTCACTCCTGGCCATTGTTATAACCCTAGACTCATATGGGCAATTATATACTCAACAGTGCTACCTAGGTATTTAATAATTGTCTCAAACCGTGCTGTGCTTCCAATAGTTTCTCCCAAATTTACTCTGGCCTGCTGCTGCTTAGTTGGAAGTAACTCTGTGTCCTAGTTGTTCAGCAAAAAAAAAAAAACAACCACAAAGAAACAAAAAACATTCTTTCTTCTTCATAGACTACGTTTAGTCCATTGAAAAATGCTAGTATTTTCTATAGAAAAATAGATACTATATAGAATACTATAGAAAAATAGATTATTTATAAAATTTTAGAAAATATTCTCCACATTCTCATT